GCCGCAGTGTTTTGAGGATCTGGGGCAGGGGAGAGAAGTCAGGGGGCTTTGGGGGGGGGGGGGGGGAGGGAGTAGCGGCGAGGGGTTAAGTCACATTTCGGAGTCCAGAGATGGAGAAGAATTCCATGAGCAACATCTGGAATTCCAACTGCATCATGTGAGCAGGACTCAGCAAGGGAGAGGTGGGGGATGGGCTTTTTCCAACACAAAAGACTAAATAAGAGCTCATGCTTATTCTGTTTTTTGTCTTTTAGGTGCAGGATCTTTTGGTTTGTTTGTTTGTTGTTTGTTTGTTTGCTGTGTCCACTCCCCTCTCTCACGTCTGACCATTCAGCTGTGGGTCACCGTTTCATGTTTTCTGTCTTTCCCAGCTGACTCTGCAGAGTGGAGAAAAGAATTGCTTCAGCATATTTCTCCTCCGCAGTCCGTCCTCTCTCTCTCTCTCTCTCTCTCTGCTGGGCTCTGTGTAACCAGAGAGCTTTTCTCCACCGTCTGCGAAATGAGTCACTTGTTTTTCACAAAGCTCCAACGAAAGAGCACACCACAATGCCCCGTCCAGCCATTCCCACTTCTCACGTTTCACCCAAATCCAGCCATGTTTTCCCCAATGCTGGGCAGCATTGTGAGATGAAAATACAAATGGTTGGTTTTCCCAAAGATTTTGGATTGTAAAATTAATTGCATATAACACAAAAGTGCTCGTTTTTAAAAGTCTTTAAGTTTTGAAAGACGATTGTTAATTGATTTTCAGAAACTAAACAGCTGGGTTTGGCTTGCTTTGCTGAAAAAAAAAAATCAAAACCTTCCCCTGAATAGTGGAAAAAATATACAGTATAGAATGTCTATCCATCAGATAAAAATACAGATTTCTTCTTTGTAAAAATGGATCTGAAAAAATGGCTGATCTTGAGGTTGTAAAATGGAATTCTTGTTAAATCATGTTCGTGTTTGTGGGGTTTTTACCTGTGTTTGTGTTTCATCCAGCAACGAATAACTTACAAACTACATTTTTTTCTATTCCTGAGCCTATGAACAGATTTTTGTCACAAGTCACAGGAAGCTCAGAACAATGTAAATTCTCTTTCTAACATCAGTATCTATGATGTGAAAAAAACTTAACAAATGTCCCCAGGCAATACTCCTTTCCTCATATCAAATAATCTAATCTGAGATTAGATTTCTTCTTGAAATCCATCTGAATTCTCCTTAAAAACCCTCCACTTGCTCTTTTTATGTGTCTGGCTGTCTTAAAAGGCCCATTTCCTGTGCCCATTCCAGCTGTGCGTGGTCTGCCGGCTGATGAATAGAAGCTTCCCAACACGGGAAGTCCTGCTCCTGCCCTTTGTGTCTCCTAATGGCCATTGTGCTGTAATTGCAGATTTCCTCCCGAACGACAGAGTGAGGAACAAAGAATGGCTATTGTTGCATCGTTCTGCCTGGTAACAAGGATGTGGGATAACAGTAAAAGGTGGAAACCAGTCTGTGGCTGTGCTAGCTCCGTGTGGTTTGGAGCTAAAGCGCTGCCACATCCTGCACCTCCAGCAGGACGATCCTCCTCACACAGACGTTTTTCAACTAATGGAATGGAAATTCTCAAAAATTAAAGTTACAGCCAACTGCATTACTTGGCAAAAAAATAAATAACCCTGTGACGACGCATTAAAATGCTGTGGAAGTTTGTGTGTGTGTGCTCGGCTGTTAGGGTTCAGGCCTAACCTAACCCCATCTTATCCCCAGTTTTGCCCTACACAGTGTGTTCACTTTGCTCCACTTTCCTCCTCCAGTCACCAGCAGGCCTGTGTGATTTATTTGTGGTGCACACAGCCAGAGGGAGGACGGTTAATAACTGATTTTTTTTTTTTTCCCTTTTTCTTTTCGGCATATCGTTTTTCCATTCGGCAACACGCGTAGCTATGCATGGAAAATAACTTCTCCCCATTTTTCAGACATATTTCTGCGATCCCCAGATGTCCCAACCTCCGTTTGCTCCTTTTCCCGGCTGTTTGGTTGGAGACCTTTCTCCCTTTTTTTTGTGTCTCTGTCTCCGGCTGCTGAGCGCCTCCTGCTTTTGTTGCTTATCACAACGTCTGCTCTGTGGGCTGGGTGTGGTGCAGCGGGGGGCCGGGGTTTGAAAATACCAGAGGGGAGGTATTACCTTGCAAAACAAAACATAACAAGTTAAAAAAAAAAAAAAACTACAGGGGCAAAGTAGTTGCGCAATCGACATTTTCGCATGGTTCCAGGTCCCGTTTCCAGATGTGGGTGTCACATAACATGGCACGGCCCCCAAAGCCCTGCAGGAAAAGGCCCCTCATGTAGAAGCTGCTGATTCAGGCTGCACATGCCGAGGCTACCCTCGCTCCGACCCAGCCATATCCGTCAGGATGCCCACACCCCCAACCCCCCACCCCCCACCCCACCCAAAACTCACACACAGCTCATTTCCCAGCATCCTGATATGTACTGAATCACTGGATGAGCCCGAGGCCACAACCAGACCCTCAGAGTCCCGGCTTCTCCTGCTGCTTGTTAATGAACTAGCGCACGGCGTCGTGCTCGGCTTTGGCCTCTCCCACCACACCGGGCCACATCTGGGATCCATAAGCACACGCATGTCATCACAAAGGGAAGGGGAGGGGGGAATGGAGGAGGGAGCGCTTCATTTTCAGACTCTCCGGGAGCCACCAGACGGACGGTGGGGACCTTGCCGCCGTTGGTTCCCCCTTGTGCATTTCACGCTCCCCGTCAGCTATCTGTGAGAAAAAAGGGGGTCTCGAGTGAAAGCGGGCGGTCGCTACGGAAACCGAGAGGGCAAGAAAAGCGGCCCCGTCTGAAGAGTGGAAGTCAGAGAGGCGTGCAGAAATCAGAGCGGCCACATCAGAGGTGGCCTTTGAAAGTGGAGCTCAGAGGGCCTCCCAACACAAAATCCTATGTGGTTACACATGGAGGGGGGGGGGCAGGGGGGGTTAGTGCTTACAGAGCAAAAACGTATTGTCTTTACTGCCCACTCACCTCTACGGGAGCGGCCCAGCTCACACAGGTGGTCGGCGGCCGTCCTTAGGGCCAAATTCTGGTTCTGGGTGTGGGGGGGGGCAACACACACACACACACACACAAATGGAAACACTGACCCGATCAGTCTGCTGTGACTGGAGCAGGCCGGCGCTAACGGGGAGCTAATCACAGGTTGGAGCTGGAGGAGGCGGTTTTAGCTTCAGAGGGCAACACATTCCAGATGTTAGACTTAGGTCCGACTTAAGGTTAAAGGTCACAGCCTCCGAGACAGACAGAAAAAGCCTTCGCATTTTTGCATCCATCCCTTCATCTGACAGAGGAGCTTATCCCTCCTTTTCTGAGCCGATGATGCTAGTTGTCCATCTGGAGAAGCTAATGTTGGGATTTTTGGGTAATGTGGGTATAAAAGGCACTTTTTAAAAAAAATGTGTGGTATATGCAAGAAATGGAACCCATGTTTATACATGTTTTAGTCCTTTATTTATACAAAAAAAGCACCGGGGGGGACTTCTCACTCTTAGAAAAGCCTTGTCATGTCCCATCTGAGCTCTGAACTCTTCTCTTACTTTGATCGGGAAGCCGTTTCTCTCAAGGTAGAGACTTTTGTCTTCAAAGTCAGGCTGCGGAGGGCCAGGCGAGCAGAGGCCAGACAGCCGGTTGCATCAGGGCAGAAAAATGTTCAGCTCAGCGACCAGAGGGCCGTAATTACATACGCGTTCTGCTGAGCTGTGTGCAAGAGCCGGCAGATAGAGCAGGACCGAGCAGAGCAAAGAGGTGATTTGAAGGAAACCGAGAAGTCACGAGGACTAAATATACCCGACTCCCAAAGAACAGGATTCATAGGAGATGAGACGGGAGAACGGGGGGCATGGGGGGGGGGGGGGGATGTGGGGGGTCACCGGCTGCTCACACGCTGAAAGCGTCCTGAGGAATCTTTATATTCTGTGTTACTTTTTTTTTGCGTGGAGTTTGTGCACTTTTCTAATTTCACCAGCAAATTTCACGCAGCGTGGCTGCCCCCTGGTGGCTGCATTAAATAAAACATTTAAAAAACTCACCATGGAGAAAGGAAAAGAAACGTCACAATGCCTTCAAACTTCAATTTCTTTTTATTATTTGTACATTCACCACTGATAGGCGTACTCAAAGAAATAAAAAAACAAAAACAAATCTTTGTACTAAAATGATAACGATTAAAAAAACAATATTAGAACCATTGGTGAGGAAACTCATAATGCGATCTCCCCTCTCAGGCCTGTACTGACACTACAGGGTCAGAGAGCAGGAGACGGGAAGGAAAGGAGGAAGAAAAGATGAGGATATAATGGCAACAAGAGCGACAGATTCTCTCCCAGAGAACGATCGTATCTCTCAAAAAGAGAAAGAGGAACACTGCACTGCCTTAGTAGTAATTACACGCTTGGTGGAAATACCCCAAAGCTGCCTCATTTAAAGAATCGATTTCTGAATAATCTTATAGGTCTGTACAAAATGCCAAACACACGATTTCAATATTTTCTGATTTGTGAAAGCTTCTGCGCAGAGGACCGGGGCTTCTCTCCTGGCCTTCCCTCCTACATGCAGTAACAGGGATTCTCCCCCGGCTGCAGGGTTTACAGCAGAGGCAGCCACTGATGGCGAATCATAGCTGGCAGCCACACGGGGACGAACTGAGGGGATGTTAGGGGACGTGATTCAATTTGCCCAGTGGGCCGTACTGCTGTGCGTCGGCACAAAGACTAAAGGGGGGGGGGGAAAAGGAGGCAGATGTTTAAAGGAAATGTGACCTCGATGGGACGCTGGAAAACAACACTGCAAAACCATGGTCCCCTTTAGCCGGCGTGTGGGTGAAAACAGAGAGAGAGCGGGGGGGCTATTCTGATCTGTGAGATGGAAACGACATCAGTTGGTCCTCTGTTGGGTCTTAGTTGTAACAAAGTACATGTAGTGAAAGGCAGGAGAGGATGGTCTCCGGCACAGTCCGGTCAGCGCCTCCTTTCCCTCGGCTCGCTGCGGCTACGCGAGCGCCGGCCCGAGCCGCCGCCCCCCCCGCCGCCACCGCCGGCGCCGCCGCCGCCCGCCCGGCGGTAGCCGTCCCTGCGTTTGTCGTTCTCCCTCTCCCTGTCCCTCTCCCTGTCCCGGTCCCGGCCTCTGTCCCTGTCCTTGTCCCGGTCCTTGTCCTTCTCACCCTCGCTCCGGTCAGCGGTCGGGGCGCCGGCGGCCTTCGTCCTCTCCTTGCGCTCCTCTTCCCTTTTTTTCTCCTCCTCCTCCTCCTGCTCTTTCCTCCGCTTCTCGCGCTCCTTCATCCGCTCTGCTCTGGCCGCCTCCCGCTGGAGGAACTGTGGAGAGGAAAGGCGTTTTAGTGAGGGGGGGGGGGGGGGGGCCCGGCAGGGGGCCCGGCCCGGGCCGGGGCGGGGCTGAGCGGGTCTCACCTGCTCCTCTGTGAGCGGAAGCCAGTAAATACACGGAGCCGCTTTGGTCTTGTGGAACAGGTCGTCCAGCAGCTTGGCCGGAGGGTCCTCGGCTGTTTGTCCAGAGAAGGCAGACCGTTACACACCCAGACCCGGCCGTCTGACCCCCCCGCCCCCCCGGCTCTCCCCCCGCCGCTCACCCTTCTTCTCCGTCTTCTTCTCCTTGCTCTTCCCCCTCTCCTTCCTCCGTCTCTCCCTGGAGCGGGACCGGGCGGGGCCCCCCTCCTTCTCCTCGCCGGGTTTGCTGAACTCCCGGACCTTGTCGCGGTCCCACTCGCGCTCGGCGCGGGCGCGCTCCCGCCGCTCCATCTCGCGCTCGCGCTCGGCCCACAGCTCCCGCTCGGGGAGGAGGGGGGGCGGCCCCGGGGCCCGGCCGCGGCCCGGGGCCGGGCCCTGCTCGTCCCCTCCCGGCCCGCCGGCGGCCCCCAGACCTCTGTGGAAGTCCAGCTGCGCACAGAGAGCCGACGCGTTCAGACGGCCCAGCGCGACGGCGGTAACCAAGGAAACGGTGAGGCCTTACCTCATCCTGCCCGCAGAAGTCCACGCTGAGGACCTTTGGGTTGCTCTGAGGCCACTTGACCCCGTGAAGCGCCGCCCGCGTGGCGACGGCCTCCTCGGCGCTGGAGTACTGCGGGCGGACACACACAGAGGGTCAGAGGGACAGCAGAGGCTGGACGAGCAGCCCGGGCTCACACACACGGGGGTCTGGACCTACCGTGACGTAGCAGTGGGACTTGATTTTGTCGATCCAGAAGCCCTCCTCCACCAGGGACCCGGTCCTGCCCAGCAGCTCCTTCAGCTGCCCGAGGGTGAATGGCCTCACCTGAGGAACACATCACACACACATGGGGACAATTCAACATTTGGCTCAATATCTCCTGCTTCAACTGGACAAAACTCTCAGAACCCCTGAGCCTGCTTGCTGGCCTTTGCCACGCGGCTTTGGGTGGACATGGGGGGGGGTAGCCGGGGCTCTCCTCTCACCAAGTTGCAGACGTGAACGATGGTGGAGACTTTGCCCCGGGGCGGCGACGGCTGGCGGGCGCTGCGGACCGGATCGTCGATTGTGATGGAAACCCCCGTCTTCTGCTGGCTGATGGAGCGGCGGATGAGGGTGTCGCTCGGAGTCACTGTGGGGGGGGGGGGACAGGCAGCACAATGTGTCATCATGTGGCAGCGCTTAATCGGAAATGAATATTTCAACTCTACGTTTTGTTGAACTGTTTCAGTGTTTGGTGTCATTATGAGGATCGAATGAATTCTTTTAAAAAAGTCACGTTAAGGTCCGGTCAGGGACTAAATAAGAGGCTACAGCGTGGGTCATTACCAGTGTTGAATTCTACGTCACGGTTGGTGAGAGTTGGCGACTGGGTTTCAACAGCTCCGGGGACGGAGGTGTCCATCCCCTCCTCGTGGGCCTTCATCCTCTCTTTGTCATCCCGAGAATCCTCTTCCTCCATCTCCTCATGCCGACTCCTCTTTGCCTCCTTCTGCCCATTCTCTTGGTTTTCCGCGTGCACCACCTTGGATTGGAGTTGATCAGAAAACATCCCGTCAGCGACTGAGAGGAGACAGGCCTTTAAAGGTGAATCTCTTCTGAAGGAGCCGGAGCAGCAGGGCACCTGAGTGACTGTGCGTCGGATCTGCAGGTCCTGGTCCGAGCGCTCTCTGTCCTCATCCTCTGCCTCGGAGAGGGGGGTTTCCTCTGGATGCAGGTCCACCACGGCGTCTTGGGCCAAGCTCGGCCGGATGTCGGGAATCAGAGACTGGGGGCGAAAGAATGAGGAGAGGCACATGATGGGCACTGAGTGCAGACACACAGGGACCATGAGACCAGCTCACGGGTTGGGTCGCTAATTAGCTCAAAAAGTCCTCATGGGCCATCCTCCTGCGTGCACGGCTGCACTGCAGGTAGACAGAGCGGGTTCTGGGTGCAGGGTGCTGCTCTTACCTTCAGGGAGTCGGTGGTGATGCTGATGGAGGGCTTCTTGGCGGTGACAGCCGTGCTGGAGCCCCACCGCCTCTTGCGGGCGCCCGTGGCCCCGGACTCCGGCTCGCCCTCGGCACTGCCGGGGGACGTTTTGCTGCCTGGCCACACACAACACACTGCGTAAGTTCATGTGACGCGTCCGTCTTAAAATACACAAAACATTAACGAGAAAAGAGGTTCCATTAACAGAACCCCAAGAACAACAAAAAAACTGATCCCGATTAGGAACAGACTGTGGCAGGATGAGGTCGGGGTGGGCGGGTGTGTACTCACTGCTTAGAGAGATCTTACGTGCCGAGAAGGCCTTTGGAGTCTGAAACACAGGCAGATGAAAACAACCGCAAATACACGGGAGAGGTGAGAGGAAGGCAACTGATGAAAAGGTCAGGTTGAAGGAGAGGTAGAACAATAACTGGAAAGTGAACGAGTGAAAGTCTGAGAATGGGCGGCAGAAACTGCTGTGAGCTCTCGTTCAAATTCATACCCGCTGAAAGCACCCAACTGTGTGGGGAAAATGCTTTGATCTGTTACAGAGTTAATGGTGGTCATTTTCACCGTTTCCACAGAGGCACCAGTGGGCGGAGTTCAAATATATCATGAGATCAATTTGCATAAAACTGTAGAAAAAGAACCTCACAGCTGCTTCTCTCGCAGACACCACAATTAGAAATTTAAGATAAGATTTTGAAAAGATGTCTACTAAATGTAAAATTGAGCAAATCTACTTATTCCCTGGTACCACTGACACCTGATCCGTACTGGGTTGGTTTTGGCCCAGTCCAGCTGCATGTACTGTATCTAGCCAACATGGGGTCCAATCAATGGTGGCTGAGGTGTTTGGGTGGAAATCTGAGAGCCTGGCTGGCAGGAAGGGTTCGACTGTTCTCTTGGGTGGGCCTTTAAATGCGTTTTGCCCAAAGCAACAATCCTCACATGTTATGGTACAAGTCTTTGTGTCAGAGCCCAAAAACAAGCCGGCGAGTCCAATTAGATGGAGACCAGGCGACAGTCGTCGTGCGCTCAAATCCAGAATTCCGATCTAAATGTTTTGGTTGTATGACAGTCACATGGTACGTTAGTGAAGAGAGTCCTTTGACAGTTTAAATGCATTTCCAGCTCACTGCGGTCCAGAGAAAAGAGGGACGGCTATGTGTGGGGACGCCGCCTGTTCCGAGTAGTGGAAAAAAAGCCAGATCCAGTTCAGAATTCCCAGTGTCCATCATTTTCTGAGTGTTATTGTTGGAGAAACAGAAAAGTCTCGGACTGCAGCAACCAAAAGCACTGAGAACACAAGTCTCCCACTGTTGCTCAATGTTTGGATTATAAAGGCAAATAAGCATTTTGATAGTTATTAGGCAACAAGCGGAGGCCCATAATAAACGAGCCGACCCTTTCTTTGAATGTTCTGGTCCAATTAATAGCTCTTGCCGGTCATATCGATGACAATGCGCCAGCCTTAGTTGCCATGGGGATTCCTCTGTGGAGCGGCTTGTGGGCATATCTGAGGCCAACTCTGGACTCTTGGGGACAGTGGAACAGGTACAGTTGTAGCAGTAGTAGTAGCAGAGGTAGTACGCAGGTACCAAAAGGGGCAAAGGAAGAGGCATGAGCACCTTCATGACAAAGCAATCATTTGGGTTTTAAACATCAGCGACAGTGAGAAAATGCCCTTGCTATTACATCCTACGGCAGTGTCAATGGTTTTAGAAACAGCCACATTAAGATATCATTTCCTATACACATTCTACCAAAACAGGCTAGCTGAACAGCCTACTGGAGATTTTACATTTGAGATTTAACCCACATTTAACCCATTGTAACATACGTAATAATCTCCAAACCACAAAATATTTCTAAGAAGAAAAAAAAGTGAAAGATTAATCTGTCACATTCCTCAATGTCCTCAGTTGCTGACAGTTTTGATAAATCCAGAGGATTCCATGGCGGACTTACCTCCTCACTGGTCTCTGAAAGCTTCTCAGGATCTGCCATGGCACTCTCCTTCCCCTGCCTGCATAGTGTTAAAAATACAGGAAAACGAGTTAAAAATATCCCGACGAAATAAGAAAATGGGTGAATACACCACTACGTCGGTTGGTAAAAGTAGGCCACGACACTGGTATGTAAGCTTGCTGAACCAAATGGCAGAAAACATCAAATATATAGGTTACCATGGCAAAACGGTTATCAATGATCCACATAAATAATTTGACTCAATTTTATTGTCAACCTTTTAGTTGAGAGAATAATCTTAACAGTGCAACTGAAGGTCAGAGGTAACTCTGCTGACAAGGGAAACCACTAATGAGATATCAGGTATTTCCCCGAGTCCAACGAGCTGCAAGACAAGACTAAAAACTTCAAAGCTTTTACAATATTTGGCAACCAGGTGTTTGATAATCGTCCCTATAAAGCTACCCCACGTTATCCCACACTGAGGCTCGCTATTCAAATGTCCAACGGGGAATAAAGTGAAAAGCAGAGCGGCTACATCCCCCAGCCCTGCCGGATCCAGCTGTAATAAACCACAGCGGAGCCCAGCTGTGCAATACCTGACAAACGCGCGCGCTTTACGTCGTTATGCCGTGCTCGTGAACGCACACGTAACCATGCCAACTCATTCCAACCGAAACCAATTCGGGGGGGGACTTCGTGGCTAGGAGAGGCTGCGTTTTTTTGGGTGACGACGTAGCTCCGGGTTCTTATGCAGCTAAAAGCTCTGCGTCGCCTCCTCCGGTTGCCCCCTCCCGTCCTCTCGCCAGAAGCGGCTCTCCTCTAAAGCGTTAACGGCGGCTCCGACGGCCCACCGAAACCGGCGACGCGCCAAACGTCGCCTGCCCTTCACCTGAGCCGCTGTGTGGAGAGCCACAGGCCGGCCGCGGCCGTTAAATCCACCGGCCCAGACCAGCCATGTTGCAACCGACGAAAAAATGATGTAAACAAGGACCCACATCGCCTCCACCACGCTTCAAGGTAGCCTCATTAATCGCCTGAAAGGAATCTGACGAACGCTCTTACTAGGCTATGTTATGCTATCATTGAGCCGCCTATTATCTATGCTTCTTCCCGGTGGGGCACGGGGGGCTGGCACACCCTGGACAGGTCCCAGTCCATGGCAGGACCACGCAAAGACCAACAACCACACACACTCACATTCAATGCAAAAGGCAATTTAGAGTGTTCAGTTTTCAACTAAAATGCATGGTTTTTTGGTGGGTCTTTTTTGGGATGATGGGAGATGGAAGGAAGCAACCGAAGGAAACGTACCCAGACGCAGATAGAACAGGGGCCCCTGGGGCCCCAGGGATTCAAACCAGCAACCCTCTTGCTGCTGTTATCAGTTCAGAGGAAACCACAGGCCTTTGGGATCCAATGAGCTGGGATGATGCAATTTGATGAATGTGTTCATCCATCTTTCAAATCTGCTTGCTATCTGTCTTTTTTCCAATTACACTTGACACTGACAAAAGAACTTACTTTTGATGACGTTTTAAATGAATAAAGAAGAACTCTAAGGCTTGACAAAAATGTGACTTCACTAACATCACTGAAACTCAACATGGCTTTGGTGTACTGCTGTCTCAGACAGTGAGCTTGCTTAAATGCTGCTTCCCAGATAAACTTCTTGGACTATTCTTAGACTGAATGATGTATCGGCAACATGAAACAGAATTCATTGAGAAGATATGCAAAAGACAGACCAGTTCTACCCAAATAAGCTGCTTTTTGTGAAAGATAGAGTCCCAATATGAGTAACAACCACTGCAGAGAATGACTCCTTTTCCTAAGCTCTCTTTGCCTTTATTGATCACATCATATAAGGCCCAAAACTAAAATAACTAAAAACAGTGAACACTTTTTCTCCTAAAAGTCTGTGATCGGGTTTCCATTTTTCGGGTTTTTGTTAGGCTGCATAAAGTTGATAAGATGCCTAAAAAACTGCCAGAGTTTCCAAAAGGATAAACAACTATCATCGATGAGAAGGTTTCCTGAGGATGGCTGAGTTTTTTCCCTTTCTTTAAGGCTCTGACATCAGAAAGAACAGAAAGAAACATTGCGGAGATGATCTTTGATTGACTGCTCCGTTATATCCAGGCGTCCATCAAACGTCTCATTGTTGTTCTGTTTTTAAGAGCTTTCTTTATTTTAGTTTTTATCTGAGGCTAGCCATGTGAACAGACGGCAGAAGCCTTTTGTCACTGCTGGTTCAGAATATGTGACAGAAACGATATCTGGGCTGGATTTTGGAGAAAAAGTCATTCAAACGTACCTTTTCTTGTCCCTCTCCTCGTCTCCTTGGCTGACTTTTCTCTTCCTTTGTAGATCTTCACTGGCTGTTGCTTCAGTCTGCTTTTTCTGAGACAAATAAGGGAAATCAAAGAATAGATTTAAAAACAAAAAACATATTGCAATTGAACATTCATTCATTTCAAATAAACAATCTCCGTGATGCAAAATCAAATGGAAAAAAATAATAATAAAAAGCACTCATAAACATTCTTCCATTAACAAACGCTTTGGATCGTTTTTCAATCAAACCTATTGGCGTTTACAACTCAGTGATGAATTATTTGACATTTTCTCGACCTTAATGAGCAGCACATTTGAGACTAACAGAAAGATGAATGTATTTAACAACCGCACATCAATAAAAAGGTCTGTGATGCTGAGCTATGGGGATTTTCATTTTCAATGTTCGCTGTGGCAGGTTGGAATCAATTATTCAGCAACTCTACATGAAATTTAAGACCAACACAGTTTAAAGCCATCTGTGGAAACCTCACTCAGCCTTTTCCTTCACCTGCAACTTGGCACAGTTGGCCGTGTGGATCATATTTTAGTAAGACCTGAACACACTCTAGTGCATCGCAGTTTTTTAGGGGAATGTTTTAATGTCACATGACCTTAATCTGGCTGCTTACATCAGCAGTGGACTAAAGCTGGGATGCTCACCTCTCTAATTCTGGAGGTGGAGGAGTCTTCCTCTTTAGAGGAGGTGGATGAGCCTGATGATCTTGAGGACGAAGAGCCAGAGTCTGACTCTGAGGAGGATGAATCGTTGGATGATGATCTTTGTTTAGCCTTTTTATCTTCCTTCTTTGGCTCTCTTCCTCTCTCCTCTGAAGCCTCCTTTGGGCTCGTAGAGCCCTTGCCTTCATCCACTTCTTTAGCCCTTTTGAAGGACTCCATCTTCGCTGAGGCTGCCTGTCCTATTTCCACTGGCGCAAGCTTTTTGACTCTTTCTTCTTGGGGACCCACAGCCGTTCCATCCACATTCTTCCTCTCAGACTGGGTCCCTGCAGTGTCTTCTGCTGCCGCAGCACCCTCATGCTTTTGTCTGACCTGCGGGTCTTCCTGCTCAGTGGAGGAGCGAGGTCCCTCCGGCTGCTGCACCCCAGTGCTGGGGGGTGAGGTGATGGGTGAGGCCCGAGGCTGGGGGCTGTCAGAGAACGTACGGGGCCGCTTAATGACCACCGAGGTGGACGAGGACTGAGGCTTGGCCGGGGAGTCCCTGGAGAAGCGGAACTTCTTATGTGGCGAGTGTGGTGACAGAGGTGTAGCGTCATGGCCTTCACCCTGGGACTCAGGAGCTTGGACACCTCCATGCTCTCCTCTCTCTGTCGATGGTGTTCTAGCTGGCCCTGTGGAGAGGGGGGGAGGAGTGGGCAGGGGAGTGAAACCAACCTCACGGCCACGTTTGGAGGAAGGGACGCCACTCTCCCGCTCCTTTTCAGCCACCCTAAACTTCTCCTGTTCAGAGACCCTCTCCTGCTCTGCTTTTTCCTGTTCCCGAGCCCTTTCCCTCTCTTGCTCCAAAGCTCTCTCCTTCTCCTTTCTTTCCTTCTCCAGCACCCTTTCCCTCTCAAGTCTCTCCTGCTCCAGAGCTTTCTGTCTTTCAAGCTCTTCTTTTTTCTCTCTCTCCACTCTTTCCCTCTCCATCCTCTCCTTTTTCAGAGCTGCCTCCCTCTCTGCCTTCTCCTTTTCCTCTCTCTCTTTTCTTTCCTTCTGTATTCGTTCTTGCTCCAGCACTCGCTCTCTTTCAAGTCTTTCCTTTTCCTTCCTTTCATGCTCCAACCTTTCTAACTCTAAGGCTTTTTCTCTTGCAATCCTGTCTAGCTCTGCAGCTTTCTCGCGTTCTATTCTCTCTTGCTCCAGGGCCCTCTCTCTCTCAATCCGTTCCTTTTCCAGCCTTTCCAGTTCCAGGGCCTTTTCTCTCTCAATCCTCTCCTTTTCCTTTCTCTCGGCTTCTAGAGCTCTCTCTCTCTCCAACCTCTGCTGCTCTAGAGCCCTTTCTCGCTCTTCCCGTTCTCTTTCCAAAGCCCTGGCTCTTTCCAGCTCTTTCGCCCTCTCCATCTCCTCTCTTTCCTGCCGTTCCTTCTCCTCCCTTTCCCTCTGCAGGCGTTCTTGCTCCAAGGCTCTCTGCCTTTCCAGCTCCTTCTGCCTCTCCAACTCCATGGCCCTCTCCCTCTCTTTGGCCAAAGCTTGTTCCCTCTCCTGTCTGGCTTTTTCTAGAGCAATTTCCCGCTCCCGCTGTAAAGCCTTTTCTCTTTCAAGCGCCTGCTGCTGCTCAAATCTTTGTCTTTCCAGAGCTTTCTCCCTTTCTTCTCGCTCCAGTGCAGCGGCCCTCTCCCGCTCTTCCTCAGCTGCTCGTTCTTTCTCAAGTTTTCTCAATTTCTCTTGCCTCTCCATCTCAAGTGCCTTTTCTCTTTCCATCTCAGCCTCCCTCTCTCTGTCCCTCTCCTCTACTCCAGTGGCCTTGAGCACACTCACAGGTCCTTGGATATGGATCGAATGTGCTCCTGTGACGCCCTGGTGGGTGCCTGGAATATTGGGAAATGGTAGGTGGCTTGCTGTGTTGGCTGTGTGAGTGATGGCAGATACCAGACCCTCTGGAGGCCCTCTGCCAGTGAACGGCGGTGCCGAAGATGAACTGTTGTCCTGCCTATTTCCTTCCTTGTCTGTGCCATGCCACCCTGCTCCGGAAAAGGCACCCTCGGACTCCATTTTGCGTGCCAGAAGGGTCAGTGGGCCGGGCTTCCGCTCATCGTGCTCTGGGCTGCTACTGCGGCTGTCACTGCTAGAGGAGCCAGAGCTGGAGGAGCTGGGCGAGTGCCTGGCGGGGGCAACATCAGGACTAGGCGGGCTCTGTTTAGGGGTGTCAGGTAATGGGAATGATAACTCTGGAGGGGGGGAGGGAGGAGGCGTTGGCTGGCGGAGTTGAGGAGACAGAAGGGAAGGGATGTGCTGCAGCTGGGGCTGACGGGAGGCACCAGACCTCTCCCTCGCAGCCGGCCCTCTGGCAGACTCTCTGAAGTTTCTCCTTCGAGCGCTGCTGGCCCAGTCATCGTCGTCACCGTCCTCCTCACCACCCTCGCTGTCGTCATCGTCGCTGTCACCTGCCACCGCACTGGACGCAGAGCCCTGCTCTTGGCGTTGCTCCCCAGCAGGAACTCGCATGGCCATGGAGCCAGAAGCAGGGGGGCTGGACACGTCAGCCCTCTGGTTTGTGTTGCCTTGTCCTGCATTCACTGCCCCAAACAACCCCTCCCCATCAGAGGGGCCAGGTGGCTTCTGCTGCCCCGCTGCGACAGGAGCCACATCCTGATGGGAAGAGAAGAAGAGGGAAACATTTAACGCTTTCTTATTCAGAAAACTACATTCTACTTTGCAAATTAAAAAAATTGCCAAAATGTGTGACAGGATGATATGCAGGGGAGTAAAAAACAAACAAAAAAACAGCCAAACCTGTGCAGGAGGAGGGGGGCACGGTGTTCTGTTATTAACCTCTGCGTGGCCCTCTTGTTCTGTTCACACAAGTCAAGTAATTAAAAATGAAAAACCTTGACATGACAACACCTGATGCGCAGAGAAACTTCTATTAGAGCATTGAAAGCGTCCAGTGGCGCTTACCGTTTGTGTCATATGCTTCACGAGCCTCTCTTTCTAGACGCTGCCTCAGGAGCTCTTGTTGCTTTGCCAGATACTGCTTTATAAAACTGTTCTGGCTCATTTCCTCACCAATCTGTTTACAGAAAGAAACAAAACAGTTTAACGCAAGCCAACAAAATACAAAGTTAGCACATATTTGTCAGACTGTCTGTATTCATGCACATTCTGGTATGTGACTTAAGGGGCTTCGGCTTTTGAAAAGAGGGGAAAAGCATCTGTGAGACTCTTACCTGCGAGTTTGGCTGCAGTCCAACATGAGTGGTGGAGGTCCTCTGCAGATTCTCCAGCATGAGAGCCTGTGATTGAGACCAGAAGCTTTATTTGTGCAGTTTAAACAGCAGGGGGATATGTTTGCAGACAATTTTCTAACAGGCCTGTATTCACTCATTACTTTAAATATATGCCTGCACTTCACTTCTCTTGACAGAGTGCTCTGTGTGTGTGTGCCTGCATGCCATCAACATAAATGTGACAAATATCTTTAGTCTACTAAGCCTCTCTTTAAAATAAATAAATAAATCCATCCGAGATTTGTAGTTTTACCCTCCAAAAAGGCTCTCGGTTAAGTGCAAACTTAAAACTTACTGTGCAGCAAGGCTAGTTAAACAGCATACACTAGCTATAGCCTGCTGGTATGTTTTCATGCTGTAATATCCTGTGCACAACTACACAAGCCTAACTTTGCACGGATCAGTGACCAATAACACAGCAACAAGTTGGTCAACATCATGTTTGGACTCCACATGGGCGCAAGAGCTATAAATGGAAAAAGCCGTTTCCAAGACAATGCCAAAGTAAACACTATTCGCTTATTGAACAGCGAACTCCTAGGAACAGACAACAACCCACGTGACTTTCCAATTCTTAAACTTAAAAATTAAAAAAGAGGAGATCCTAAGATGTATGGCGGTGTGTTTTAAGTATTTGCGGAATAATAAAACATGTAAACAAAGTCGCTTGGACATCGCCGATTATTAGCTCACGATCCCGGCCGGCCATTCCCACATTTAAGAGTGTGTTGAGATAAAATGCGTTCAAGTGGATTAACGTTGAGTGATAGCTGGAACGACATTTCTGCAAAGGCAAGAAAAGCGGGAACGGTAAACCGCTAGCGTTCAAGTAAAACTCGCAAACACTAACGGGGCTCACATCGTAGAGGGAAACACACTGTAAATTTTAGCGAGCCAGTCGCTCAGGCCACTGCTCAACTCAGTTAGCCTGAGAAGCTAACAGGCTAACAAGACAACATCAAACAAACACACAGTTTACGACGAGCAAGTAAGTTAGCTCAACTTCTGCTCCAACTGTGAGGTGAACTGTGTCGTGCAACTAAAACAGCGCGAAGCCACGGCACAAAACAGCCAAGCATTTTTCAGGAGGATGTCAACCCCGCTAACTCTTCTACTAAGATCGGCAGTAACGACACTCAGTTGTCGGCCCTCGAGAGAGCATCAGCCCGTCTCATCGTTAATGCTAACCCACAGCAACACCGTGGTGGCCTTTTTATTAGTAAAACTTACCCCCTTGAGTCTTTTAATCAGAGCATTCTTCTGTCCACTTTTCGACAGTCCTCTTTCCTCAAGAGCCGCTTTTAAGTCCGCTACTCGGAGGGACTGAAGCGGTCTCCCGTCCAGCGTAACGTCTTCGAGGTCCGCCATTTTCCGTTCCTCTAGTCAGTTCCCAGCTAGAGCAACGCCTTCCACTACCTGACGTCATCAATGACAACTTCCTCCCCGACCTAATAAAACGATTAAATTACCGTAAGTATTTAAAGCCCACAACATACAGACGTATTGTTCGGTTGTGTCAAAACGTGTTTTAGTCACCGTTAACAAAGTACGACTTTAATCTTATTTCAGTAAAATAAATAACTGAATGAAATAAGATTTTTTAAAAAGCATGCGCAATATCGGCGCAAGCTTGACTTCCTACATAACTAAGCTAGTTAACAGCGTCCGCTTCCTGTGTATATACTCGTTAGCTAGTCCTTCTACAACCACTACCCTCCAGTATTTCTAGTGTAAAGAAAAGATGCCGTCATTGTTTCCATTCTTAAAATATGTTTCTTAGGCAGCACTTGCTACTAGTCATTAAATTATGTTGGCTTTAAATTTCGATTCGGGTGGTTGTCTTCCTCAAACTACCAGGTAACACAGATAAGAGGATTTTCCTGATCACTGACATTTCAAACTTTTAGCCGAGGAAACGTAGAACTTTTTTTTTTTTTTATCCTTAGGGATAAAGCAAAGTTTCCTAAAATGTCATGGTTCAGTCAAGTCAACCAAAGCTCGGGTCACCAGCAGCCCACCGACAGCCAAAGACTCGCACACATCCAGGGCTCAGCGGCCCCGGCAGCCCTCGGCGGCGGTCCCGGCTTATTCGCCCCGGCCCTGGCCGACTTCCCGTCGGCTCCCCGGGGCGCCGCCAGCCCCCTCAGCCTGGAGAACCTGTCCTGCGCCTCGCCCAGTGTCGGCCAGGGTAGAGAGCTCGAGCCCATCTCCTACGTGACCCTCCAGGAGCAGCGGTGTGTCCTGAGCTGGTTCCAGGGCTGGACCGCCACCCAGAGGGAGCGTTTCCTCCACGACCTCCTGGGAAAAGCCGTCCCGGGGAAGGTGTGCACCCTCCTGGATTCACTCAGTACTCTGCAGGTACTAACGCCACTTTCAGTGTTAAAGATGCACAGTGGAGAGGGTTTTTTCCCCCCGATTTCAATCTCTGTCACATGTGATTCCTTTTTTTAATTAATTTGTTTTTTCAAACATCATTTCAGGTCAAAGACAAGCTCCCCAACATCTTTGAGTGTCAGCTCCGGCTGTGGACCCAGTGGTTTGAGTCTTGGAGGGAAGAAGAGAGGAATCATTTTCTGCACATGCTGGAGGAGCAGAACCCAGAATTTGTTGCCCATTTTTACAGGAGTGTGTCTGGAACAGCAGGAGCTGACTGAACCTGGTTTTCATTAAACAAAAAAAAAAAGTAGCATAGCCTTCATTTAATGTACAGATTTTTTTAACAGTACAGATTCCTACTATTTCCCCAAGGGCTTCATCCTCATTCATTCATTTACAAAGTTAATTAGGGCTGAAGCTCTGTTTGACTTGGTTCATCGGCTTAAGCTTGAGAGGAATGTTTGTAATGGATGTAAGGATGGGGGGAGGAATGTCTCAGAGTTGTTTAGTTTTTTTCCTTTTTTACCTCTGCTTATCAGCCCGGAATAACATATAGAGGGACAATTTGTTTGTTTTTTCTGAGAGAGCAAAGTAAATAGTGCATTGTTGAAACTTCTTTATTAATTGAGGTTCAGGATTTCAATGCATACATTTAAAAATGTAACAAATCACAGCATCTTGTACTCTTTATTTGATCCAGTCAGTTGATCCAGGGTTACGCAAAACTATTGCACTTGGAATTTTGACATCCTCCACACAATAATTGATAAATGGGTAGATTTTGTCAAAAAAGATCTGACCAGAAAAAGTGTACAAATAAGATCTAGCCCCGGAATCGTAAAAAGAAATCTGTCCCTTATCATAGTCCAACAAGATCCCCAGTGTGAGTGGCAGAACCTCAACGTTCAGGCGAGCAGGCCTGTTGTCAAGAGCTTTGAGCTCGCCCTGTTTGTTCAGGACTATAGTCCAGAAGCCTTTAGACGGCTTGAACGACAGCGATCCCTTTCTCGGAGCCGACTCACTGGCCATCCCGAGGTGGTAACAGGATTTCCCAGCCACAGACACCTCCCAGTAGGTTCTCCCTCTTGAGAAACCGGTCTCCCCCAGGATGCCGAGGACCACGTCGAACCTGCCTGGCTGGTCGGGGACGCTCAGAATGTCCTCGGTGGTGTACACCTCGGTCCTGTCCGCGGACAGAGCTATTCTTGGGTGCGCCGTGTCGGGATCCATGGTAACTTTGTCTGGAAAACCGGGAAATATAAACATGAGTATCTTCACATCGCATTTAGAAT